AGCTGATCTGGAACTCACTATGTAGATCAGGCTGGCCTTGAACTCAGGGATCTACCTGCTTCTGTCTCCTGAGTGCTGGGATTACAGGCATGCACTACCCTGCTCAGCAACTTTTACATCTGTTTTATAGACCAAAGTAAATAGCAAAAATATAAAATCAAGAAAAATAAGTATTTATATTGCACACTCATAATGGGAAAAACACAAGCATAAAACTAATGGAACAATTTCAAAGGAAAGATGACAAGGTTTGAATGCATCAGAATTTCATTTAATCACTTAGTTGTTGTGTATTATTTATTACTGTTATTGTACTCATGGCCGTGCTAGCCTTCCCAAGCTCTTTTTGTCCCCCACCCCACCCTCTGGCAGCTGTAGCCTCCCCTTAACACCCTTGGCTTGACTTTACTTCACCTGGGGCTGATGCCTGGTCTAAAGGCTCCCCCTGGAGGACGCTAAGAATTTAGCACACATAGAAATGGGAATTTACCTTTTGTGTTCTCTAGATAACTTTCTACATAATTTGAATTATGGTTAAATACTGTTTATTATTTTCACTCTGAATACGATTTCATTTTAAACTTTGTCACAAAGCCACCCATACTCAGGTATGAGTGATAGCAATTTGTAATACTGCAGTGTTAGTTTTCAGACTTTGAACACACATTGGAAATAAGATGTACTAAAACTATATAATTCCCAGTGGAATGGAAGTTGGGTCTTCGCATGGCTGCACTGGAGGTGCATAGCAGTACTTGGGAAAACAAACAAACAAAGTTGCTGGGACATTCCATGCTGCGACATGGAAATACCAAGAATATGTGGAAGGATGTGTGCAGAGAGTGCTACATGCTATTTGTAGTGATAGAAAGTTCTTCGCATGGCTGCACTGGAGGTGCATAGCAGTACTTGGGAAAACAAACAAAGTTGCTGGGACATTCTTTCCCTCAGCTCTGCGACATGGAAATACCAAGAATATGTGGAAGGATGTGTGCACAGAGTGCTACATGCTATTTGTAGTGATAGAAAGTCAAAAATAATCAAATCTCAGTAATGGGGATAAGGTAAATGGTGAGATTTGTGCATATGACCTAATACTATGCCATCACTAAAAATCAAGTAGGGTGGTGGGCGTGGTGGCGCGCCTTTAATCCCAGCACTCAGGAAGCAGAGGCAGGTGGAACTCTGTGAGTTCAAGGCAAGCCTGGTCCACATAGTGAGTTCCAGGCCAGCTGGGACTACAGGGAGACCCTGTCTCAAATAAATAAATAAATAAATAAATAAATAATGTAGGGCCAGCAGCTGATCTGTCAGAGAAAGCATTTTAGCAAATGCTGGTAATGGATTTTGATTCCCATGTGTCAGGCTAAACACCTTTGACCTGAAAATAAAAGTGCTTGAAATCAAAGACCTCAAAAGAGTAGAAGAAATAACAGCGACCTCTTTTTCCTACTCTAGTTAGCACTGAGCAAATAACTGGCCATTTCTTTCCATCATGGTGTCAAATTTTCCTTCTGCTTGGAAATGCTACAGTTCTCTGTACAATCGAAAAGAAGTGGGAGGAGTGGGAACTACTCAAAGCAAGCTGTGCTGAACAACAGAGTCACGTAGGCAATAAAGGACTTATTCACGCAGAGAAGTCTGGTGCCCTCTCCCCCGGGCCTCTTTCCCATCCTGTTCAGGCTTCCCTTGCTCAGGGACCAGCCAGTGGCTCCAAAGCCCTCACAGGGGTTCCTTTGTGTCAAGTGCAGCAGAGCAAAGGCAACAAAGTCTCCTTCATTCCTTAGGAGCTCAGGGATTTGGAGGGCCTGGTGATGAGGCTGGGCATGATTTCTAACCCTACCTGCACCTTCAAAGGCCCCATGTTCTTCACTGGGGGTGGCTGGCAGGGTTCACCAACGATGAAAAGCTGCTTTCTTAGGGCAGCAGAGCTGATGTTATTGAAGGCGAGGACCTCCACGGTAAATTCTCCCTCCCTGGAAGGATGGGAAACAAAGAAATGAAGAGCTCAAGGTGGCTGTCCATCAGCCCTCGTTCCCTTTCCATAACCATCTGAGATCAGTGGTTGCTGTATCTGATGGCAAGTGAGCACATTGAGTAAGGATTTTAGAGACTTGAGTCAAGAGGTTGATCTCCACAGAAGCCATTCTCTGTGTACTTGACAGAGCAGCTGTCCACCTTGTATAGGTGAAGCCCAATGCCTAGTCAACTGGTACTTACATGCTCCAAACAACCTAACATATCCTGGTAAGAACATATTGCTCCCAGTAGCCATGGCTTAGTCCACTGTTGACCATAGGGCCACCCAATGGTTGGGCCCTAAAGTTTTCCTGACCCAAACCTGAGGGTCTCTGGGCACGATCTTTCTGTTCTAGTCTCTGTTCTAAGGGTTAGGTTTCCTGACCTGTCTCTTAAGAACCCTGAGAACTCAGAAGGTACAGGATAGGTTCCAGATCTGAACCATCATCTAGTTCCTGGGGAGGGTGGAAGCTCTCGGCTGTGGAGAGATGTAGCACAGGGCAGTGGGAATCAGGCAGCTTGGACCAGGTGGGTGATGCTTTACTAAGGAAATACACATTGATATAACCAGCTATGTACAATGGACAATAATTCAAGACTTTCGAATTTGGAACATAAAAGCAGTCCCATCAGAAGACTAAAAATTTGAGTTGTAGCAGCCAGAATGCCATCTGCCATCCTCAGGCCTCAGGAAGAAAGGCAGGCCCTCAAAGGAGGATGATTCTGCATAGTGGACTCAGGCTGTGGGATAGGGCAAACACTAGAGGTGACACCAGACACTGTCATTTCCAGAGGGTTGCTGGAGCCACAGAGCACATCTTTGGTGCCTGAGCTCAAGCATGTCAAATCCATCAGGCACTTTTGATCAATTCCTTCTGTGCCTAAGAATCCATTTCCAAGAGAGAAGTCATGAATTGTGACTAGTAATAGAACAAGATTCCCCATGAAAATGAGAAGAGTCTGCAGACATGGGCTCTTCTGGATACCCTGCACTGAGGGAAGCTTCCAGCATTTCTTGGTGTCTCTGCCACACAAGTCTGGATGCTTTTGCACGCTCTAATGTTTCTCTGTATCAGCTGCATGTCAGTCTGAAGCTCAGCCTCGGCCATGCTTGTTTCTTACAGCTGTGAAGACTGGGCACTTGAGAGGTCTTATCCCTCTTAGAACCTAGGACTCACTTTAGCCAGAGACTCAGATGGGAGCAATTGGCCCGTCTGTTTGCAAGTTACCATACACCTAGCTTTCAGTGTCATTTGCATCTATGATTTTTCCATTGGAGAAAACCCTCCAGAAGACACTGCTTTGGGACAAAGGCACCCAGGTATAACTTATCTTTCTAATCCAGCCATGTGCTGTATAAAGACAGCGTGGTCATTGAGGTATTACATATGACATGACAGGGCCTCCTCAGATTACAGTAAGGAAGAAAATTTCTTATTGACTAGTGATACCATAGCTGTGGTAACGTAGAGTGCAATGCATTGCTCTCATGTTTGTGGTGATGCCCAGTAAACACGGCTGCAAATGCTGCTGGTCATATGAAAGCATTCTAACACAGAGAATGATGTACAGTATGTAACTGACGATAATGAATGGCTATCCTGCTGGCTTACGTATTTAGTATACTATGCTTTTCATTACTGTTTTAGAGTGTATTCCTTCTACCGACAAAAAGAAATGCTTCCTGTAAAATAGCATACATTGATATCTGGTAGTGGCTTTGTGAAGCTCATATTTCCATCCTTTCTTGATTACATCAAATGCCACATCAAGTGACTGACCTATGCCACCTAGAATTGTGTAAACACACCCTGTGATGTTTGCACACTGACAGAACCAACGAATGACATTTTCTCAGAATGCCTTTAGTTGTTAAGTGACACATGATTATCTCCATAGTGCCTTATTCTAGGCAAACAGTGGGCCTTATTAAAGGGAGCATTCATGCTCTACCTTCTGACACAGAGGCCCTTTACAGTATTCTCTGGGCACCTTACTCTTTCAATTACCCACCTCCCTACCTCTTCTCCCAAGCACACCTGACTGCCACTGCAGACCTTTCCCAATAGGGTCCTTCCTTTGGGTCTCTGTTGATGCCCCTTACCAGTCTTCCTCTGGCTATCTCTTGCTCAAGATTTCCCCTTCAGTTTGCTTGAAAATGTCTAAGCATGGGTGTCTAGCCTCTGAAGCTGTGCATGTTGTATCTCCTTTGAAGACATTCCCCTGGACTGAAGGCTTCTATCTGCTCTCCCCTTCCCTTGGACAGTAAGCTCCTGTAGAGCCCTAGTCAGGCCCAGTTTGTCACCGTATGCATCACCTGGAGGATGGACTGTGGGGTTTCAAACATCGATCCTTCACAAGTCAACTGCAGGAACCACCTTCAGCCAGCTAGTTCACCTGCCCTGCATGGGCTCACCTGCTATAGATGTGGCTAATGGAGCTGCTCCCCAGGCTGACAGCGCCATCCCCAAAGTTCCAAAGGTAAGCAACATCTGTGCCAAAGTTGAGCCTGCACTCAAAGGACACACTGGCATTTACTAGAGCTGAGGCAGTGGACATGAGCCGATTGGCTATGATTTTCTTCTGCACTCTGATGAGGTGGGGCTCAGAGACCACATTACCGATCCTGCTGGAGGCCTTGACCATGATGTGGTACCTGAGGATGGGGCACAAGGGCAGGATGTTTGCATACACATGACAAGATGTGGAGAATTTCCATCAGTAGATAGGCAGGACTGGGGGCCTAATTTGTGGAAATCAGCCCAGTAACTAGTGATTTACACTTTATCAAGGTCGAGGTAGAGCAGAATTTTTAGTTTCTCTTTATCACTGTTTGGTTCAGTTCTCTAAATGGGGACAGCACTCCTCCCTTCTTTGAGGAAGCATGCTCTAGGTCACATGGGTGGCTGAGATGATTTTTGAACCTGGGATCAGCCTGTTGCTCAGTGTTCCCTGAAGGGAAGTGAGTCCCTCATCTTTTACGTCTTATAGCTAAGCTCAATTCACAGAGGTACTTAGGGGCTGGTTATAACACAACGATGACACCATTAAAATTATTTTGATGTTGGCAGGATACTGTTTGTCCTAACTGTTGGCTACATCACCACTGACAACCATATTAACAGACCACTGCGGGATGCTCAGCCTTCTCCTAATGGTTCTGGAAGTTGTCCTCACTGGTTGGTCATCTCCGAAATACCATGAAAACTCCAAGGGTGTAGTTTCCTTGGTAACAGCCACAAATGTGATGTCTGTGTCTGCTGCAAATATGGTTCCATCGGTGTACACGGACACAGCTGTGACAAAGAGTAGACAGAGTGATATCAGCACAGAGTGCTGGAAACCAACCCCTGAGAAAAGGACCCCCTACTTGGCCACTTAGCCAAGGACTGAACAGTGGGAATGAGCCTCTTAATGTGAGTGCAGGGCTGGGCCAGGGGACACTGTAGAGCCTGGGCAGGAGGTGCAGGCAAGAGGTGCAAATGTGAAGGCCACCAGTAACATCTCATGAGGCAACATGGCTGGCTCCTTTGGGAATGCTGCTTGGGTGGTATGAAATGGAAGGCAGCAGATGTTTGCACGACAGTCCACTTTCTCCACCCTCTGATGGGAACCTCGTAGCCTAGGGTTTCTAGGCAAGTCCTAGAACAGCCTGCAGATTCAAAAGACCCTGCTGAAGGGCCAGCGGGATGGTCTCAGGCTGAGATGACAGCAGAACCCAGGCTGCCTGTGGCTTCAGTAGTCGGAAGCTGAGATGAGGTTGCATCTGGAATTACAATAGAAACTTACACTGCATCTTATAGCTAACAGTCACACCAAGCCAAGCCTGGCTGCTGCCCACTTGGGTCTGAGAAATAAAAGACACATTATATGAAGAGATGGATGAAAAAGAATGCATCACAACAGTGCCTAAAACAAGAAAAAGAAAAATACTTTATTGACTTTTCTTAAACACACATATATTTCTCATTTTTAACTTTTTCTCTTTGAATTCTGATGGATTTTTAAAAATATTCTGAATGAGAGAGGCCTAGGAAATAAGAATTTTGTCACAGGATTTCTCTTTAAAATTTTCTCCAAATAATTTTTGTCTCTCCAGAGAACTCTTGATACAGCAGTGAGTACATAACTTCCTTTGTAGTGTATCAACTCTGCTGCTAGCTGGCCTGGTTTTAAATGTATTTATCCAGTGTATGTGTATTGACCAGTCTCCACATCACAGTGGTTCCTAAATGGGAGTCCAAGAATAAGCCTCATGCATCTAACTCATCTAAAATATAATGCGATATTTTGTGCACACACAGACATAGATACACACTGCATACATATATGCATATATGTATGGGAAGGCAAATATCAAAAATTGAATCAGATCCTAGAAGAGAGCATGTTTAGGGAAGTTTGAATCAAATCATTTAGGGATACTAAAAAGGGAGGTGTGTTTTAAAATTATGATTGCTGTTTTTCTCTATAACATTTCTTTTTATAAATAGAAAATGCTTATTTATAGCCTAAGTAAAATGGAATGCATGCAGATTTGTTTGAAATTTACTCAATGAATACCAGTTATATTTTCTCACTAATGACTAAAAATTAATCCTGACCACCGTCTGATGTCACGAGTGTGAGGAAGGAGAATTTATGGATTTGCACAAAGACATTCAAGTCACATGTCTTTTGAGTTAGATCGAAACTCAAATCTGGGCTGGGCATGGTAGTGCACACCTTTGAGCCCAGCGCTTGGGAGGCAGGGGCAGGCGGAGATGTGTGAGTTCAAGGCCAGCCTGGTCTACATAGTGAGTTCCGGGCTCTTGGGGCTATAGGGAGACCCTGTCTCAAAAAAAGATTCGCATCTGATTCTCAATCTCTGCACAAAACCCACAAAACCCATGACCTGTGCTCACCCACTGGCTAGATCAGCTGTTTGTTTATTCAAAGTTTAGATAAGACAAGTTACTATAAATGACCAACTGGCTGGCTACGGTGCACTGACTGATAGGTTTAAAAAAATCCTTTTCGGTACTACATAATGCTTAGCTGGGGAATTTCTCACCAGCACTGTAGGGAAATGCACAGGCAACATGTGGTACCGGTAATAAGGATTCTGATGAATGAGTTCTTCAGGATGCATCTACCACTGGTTCTCCTTTTTCCCATTTCTGGAGAAAGCAAGTCCATAATTCCATCCATTTGAGCTGCTTCCCTCTGGCTCTCCTATCAAGTGTTCTAAATGTTTCCTCCATAACTCTTGACTGGAGTCTCTCTGTTGACTCCTTCCGGACTCTGAATTTTAGACTGTCCTTCCACAAAACCAGCAGAAGAACAGGACACCTGTTGCACAGGTAGGTGTGGGGCAAGTGTGAGGAGACACCAGAGGAGTGAGAGTTCCTGACACACGTGAGCATACACCGTCACTCCTGGCTTTGGCTATGGCTCTGCCATCTGCCATAATGTCCTCATAGTTCCTCATAGTTTACTGGATATACCTCTTCTACCTGACATAGTACCTGCCCCACAGTCCCCATAGTATCCTATCCTGGGACCTCTCAGCCACGTGGCCAAGCTCTTCTCTGGCCAAGTTTCTGTATCTTCTATTTTTTAGTACACATATCAACATATCATTACTGAATTACAAATTCCTTGAGGTCAGAACACTGTATAATATTATCTCATCTCTTCCAATACTCAATGTGTCACTCTAGATGATGGAATTTGGGATGGCTGAAACTTGAATGGGGGTAATTAAAGCAAAGACAAGTTGTGTGCACAGCAGAGGTCTGGGCACTCAGTTTTTGGACATGGCTCTTACCTTTCTGCTTTGAGAGGAAGTCAGCAAAGAAAAGAGCTTCACCCTCATGGACAGTACTGGAATTCATGAACACAGACACATTCTCATGACCAGTTTCCACATAATAAGGCCCCAGCTCTATATCAGTTCCATGAAAGTCATGAACAACAGCCCTGAGCTTGTAGAATCCTTCTGGAAAAAGAGAATAAAATGGACATTTGATGAATTTTTAGATGGGCATCAGAACTAACATCTCCAGGACAGTCATAATGGGGTGGGGGGTCGGGGGGACTGACACTGTAAATGAGATTTTTCTCATTATTTGCAATGTATACAGCATATAGAGTCCCACGCTCAATGTGGCTATGTGTGGCATAATGGTCTACTGTTTGAAAATTCTTAATAATGTTGTAAATAGCACTTTTCATTTTTTGCACTAGGTCTAGAGGCTGATGTAGCCTATCTTGTGCATCAGGAATTATTAACAGTGTGAAAACAGAGGGTGGCTACCTTACAAATAGGTGACTGTGTATGTGCATATTTGATATACATATGTAAATAAACATCCTAATCGTATATATCAAAGGATTGTTACCGATTTAAGAAATAACCCCAAGCCCTGACCATGTTTTCTTGCCCTTACAATATGACTATAACATGACTTTGTGGTTCATTAAGTGGTAGAACCTACTATTCTTCTTTTCAATTCCTGCCCATCCCATAGTCAAAGGAGTTACATAGGCTTGCACATCTAACCTGTCCTCTCTTGCTCGTATTTGGACTGGTCATTGCTACCATGGGAAACAGCTGTCTCCAAGGAGGAGAAACATGACTCAATTTCTCCACGGAGCCAGACATCTCTGGGAGAATGGCCATCTTGCTGATTGGGAGCTGGCTACAGATCTGTGATGAGCCCTTTGAGGCCAGCCCAGGCACAAAGAACTCCTAAGAGAGCTATAAGTTTAAGGTACTAAGTTATCTCAGGTGCTCTGTTCACAGTGACAGATACTGATACATTTCCTCTGGACTAGAAAGGCCTTTAGAAATTCTCTAATCCCAATCTGCTACCTAATATTCTTAAGTTATACATTTGATCTTGCCATCCATTAGCCTTAAAATATTAGGTGACTCCTGCTGTGTCACAGAATAGTGTCCTCAGCTGGTCCCAATGACCCATTCCCAATTCTGTACCTGCTCCCCACCACCTCATTCATCATCCACACAGAAAAGGTTCCCCTTCCCAGCCCTCTCTCAGTTTACAAGTCCCTATCATGCAAGCCTCATGTCTCTACCTGCCAACTCCTGCCTACCATGACCTCTTTAAATGTCCCAGGCAGAACAAGGGGCTCCATCAGGCACTTGTTCAGAGAGCTGGGGTTGTGTTTCACTTCCAAACACACTATAGTCCTTGTCTTTCTAGTCCTGAAAGCTCATCATATTTCACTCAGTACATGCACAATAGATGTTTGTGAAATGATCAGTGATGCTTTGCACAATGGAAACTGAAACCAATAAATAAATAAATAAATAAATAAATAAATAGTTTTCCCTAGGTCCAGAGTATGCTGTTCCTTAGGAATGAATACAGCCTTTCCTCTCTGCTCACTGTCTGAGGGAGTTGCTGGTGGCAACATAATGCATAAAAGAAGGAGCAGCATTTCAGAGGAGAAAATATTTGTCTACAGAGAAAATGAGTGAATGTAATGGTAGATGGGATTTGGAAATTATGTGCTGAGCAGAGGCCAGAGAGACGGCATCCTATATCTTAATTAGGCTCAATTAAGCACATAAGAAGGGGCACATTTCTCCAGCTTTTAGTCCTTAGAAGCTGCATCTTACATGCTGAAACATCACAGATCACTTTATCCAATTTTCTTAAATCACTGCTGCTCACAACAGGGCCCAACAAAAGTCTGCACATGGATTTTAATAAATAGAAAGCGAAACCGACATCAGAGCCAGCCATAGTGTTCACAGGGACCAAGACTTCATCAAGAGCTATGATATGGGTGAATCAATACATTGCTCTTCATTTTAAAAGGAAAATTTCATTACTACAGCATCAGAAAGGCGATTTATCTAATAACTATGTGCATGGATTCAGGAGTTTGACCTCAGATCCCAGGAGATTTTGCTTACAAGTAAGCTTTTAGCTTAACCTCTAGGGGGAGATAAGACACCAACTCATTATTTTATTTTAATAAGGAAACCCAATTGACACATATTAAAGTTGTATATGTTTAACATCAATAGAGTAAGTTCTGACTTGAACCTAATCTTCCATTTAGTCTTCTAGGCATCATACAAAAGAAGAAAGCGTAAAAATGAACAAAAATGCAACACGTTTTGTGTGAAAAAAGAGGTAGCCAAGCATGTTTGGAATACAAAATCAATGTGAAAGCTGCTTATAAGTGGCAAAATCAAGCATGGGTGGGCAGGAACTGTGCTGGAGGTTAAAGGGGGAAGATGCTGTAAAGGGAGAACTCCGCAGTAAAAGGACTTGGCTGTGACGTCATGAGCAGCATCACCTGCAGACAGCTAGTGCAGAAAAAATGGATGTAATTATGAGAATTGTCACAAAGAAAGCAAAAAGGAAGTGAGGAAAGGAAGAAAGAGGAGGAAGGGTGGGAGAAAGGACCACTCAGAGTACGTAAGATGCTGCAGGAGTTAAGAGGAAAGCTTCAGAAGATGCTCGAATAGATTAAGACCACTTCCCAACAAAAATGCCTTTCAAGGAAGATGAAAAGATTGAACAGTTTGGGGAATCATCATCTTCTGTGATGGATGAGCAGAAACAGACGTGAAAGCAACATTCCAAAGAACATACTGGAGAATAGATACCACACAACATGGAAGAAAAGACATAGAGAAGAAAATGGCAGGAACATCAGAAGAAAAGGAAAATAAAGGGAAAACAAGACTGGACAAAACAAGACAGACTTAACAGATCTATAAAAAAATGCCACAAACAAAAGTCAAATGCTGGAACAGAAAACTGTAAGATATAATTGAATAAATCTTTCTTGAAACACTGAAGGATAAGTGCATGTCTACATATGAAAAGGTATGCGGTGTCCCAGGGAAAGTTGATCTAGAATGGTCAATATGGAAGCATGTGCATTCTGGTGAAGTTGTGGAAGTGTCAAATATAGATGTAATTATTTTGACAGAGACAGAAACAGTAAGCTACCTGTAAGAAGGAAGGAAAGGGGCTGGTTTTAGAATCATTGCAGCCTAAGAAAGAATGCAGGGGCATATGGAAGGGCATCAAAGGCATAGGTGCCAGGGACCTGGAGGCCAGGGCAGGCCTAGGAATCTGCACCTCAAGACAGACTCTAGTGACAATGATCAAGCTCCCTAGACATGGAGGACCACCACTACGAGCAGGAATGGAATGGATAAATGACTAGATTTCTCAAGAAAACAGTATAAGGACTTAAGGGTGCTGGTGGTGGTCAAAATACCAATATGATGTCCTGACAATGTAGAAATTACATAGCAAGCTGAAGTTGGGAAGGACAGAGAGGAAGAGGTGGGGGTGGCAGAGTGACATGGACCACTCATTAGGAACTGCTGATGGCTAAACTTCATTATCAACCTGACTGGATGTAGAAATACCACGGAAACACACAATCCTAGGAAAGTTTGACTGAGGGAAGACCTACCTTGAATGTACAGAACAGTATTCAACGGGCTAGAGTTCAAGACTGAATAAAAAAAAGAAAGAAAGAAAGAAAGAAAGAAAGAAAGAAAGAAAGAAAGAAAGAAAGAAAGGCAGTTGAGCACAAGCATTCATCTCTCTGCTTCCTGACTGGAGGCAATGTGACCAGCTGCCGTCTCTTCCATAGCTGCAGACCCTTGCCAAGCACACCTTCTCACTGGGATGGGCTGTATCTCCTCAAACTGAAGCCCAAATAAACCCTTTTCCCTTAATGATCTTGTCAGGTATTTTGCCACAGTGACGAGAAAAGTCAAACACCGCTCGCAACCCAAATTCATACACACCTACAATTAAGAAAAATTCAAGCACACATTGGAGCACAAACAAAAAGACTAACAAAGATCATTTAAATAATTGAAATCCAAGATAAGAGTGGGGAGGAGAAGAAGGGATTATACTGATACCCTTACTCAGTGGGTACCCAATGGCTGCTCTAAAGAAACAGGCGAAGGACATGATCTAAGTAAAAGGGATCAACTAAGGGGCTGGAGAGATGGCCCAGCGGTTAAAACACTGGTTCTTGCAGAAGACCTGGGTTTGAAGCCCAGCACCCACATGGCAGCTAACAACTGTCCAAAACTCCCATTCCAGGGGATCCAACAGCCTCTTCTGTCCTCCACGGGCATTGCATGACGACATCCATACACATAAAATAAAAATAATAAATAATATTTTTTATTTTAAAAAAGAGATCAACTAAGACAAAGCCACACATCTTTCAAATATCAGACAAACATTCAAAATTTCTTTGACAATAACAGCTTTAACAATCTTTCCAATAAAGGAAAATTCACTGAACTCCATCTCAAGTAAAAATGACCAGTAGCACTCATACTCCAAAGCCAACCTGACACTAGAAAAGGAACCATCTAGGACAAGGGTTCCCATGAGTGGACAGAGGAAGGATGTCCAGAATTGTGGAGGGCCATGTGATGAGGTGAGAGTGACAGCCCATGACCCATGGAAAGGGGGCCTCCAAGTGAAGGACGCACTGGGACAGAGAAAGTAAGAGGCTTGGGCCACCTGGGTTCATTCAAGGAATAGAGGCAAACGGTAAAGAAAGGTAAAGAGCAGGTTTGAACATCCTACTGAGGACAGGGTGCCAGCCCCTTGTGTCACAGTCCCTAGCTACTGATCCTGATCCTTACTGCCGTCTTATTCAAGATCTTTCTCTATCTCTGTCTCTGTATGCCTCTCTCTATATCTCTCTTCCCCCTCTTCCTCCCTTCTTCCTCCTCCCCCTCCTCTTCCTCCTCTTTCTCCTCTTCCTCCTCCTTCTCCTATTTCTCTTCTCCTTCCCTTCCTTCTTCCCTCCCTTCTTCCTTCTCTTCCTCTTCCTCCTCCTCCCTCTCTCTCCCTCACCTGCTGTCCTTCTTTCCTTCTCTCTCTCTCTCAACAGTCTTTCCATTAGTGGAGCTGGGTGGTGATGAGTCCCAGGAAGTTGGGTGGCACAGGGGCTCAGCACATGGCAGATCCTGGAGCCCGGGCACCTAGCTGGTTAAGACAGACACAGGCTATAACTCACTATAACCTTCCAAGCAGTCCTGAAATTTCTAACATTGACTGCATTTTAAACTACAAAGATGACTTCAGAACTCGAAAAAAATCAAAATAGTAGAGAAAAAATGTTTATCAAGCTACATCATGGGGCCATATGGCATGTGGCTATGTTCAGAAAATAAGAAAGAGGCTGGAAAGATGGCTCAGCACTTAAAAGCATTGGCTGCTCATGCAGAAGACCCAGGTTTGAATCTCAGTACCCACATGGTGACTAATAATTGTCAGTAACCGCAATTCCAGGAGATCTGACACCCTCTTCTGTCCTCTGCAGGCACTAAATGACATGGGTACACTTACACATGTGTAGGCATAACAGTCATACATAAAATAAAATAAATTTAAAAATCAAAAGAAAAGAAAAGAAGGGGCTGGAGAGAAATGGCTCAGCAGTTAAGAACACTAGCTGCTCTTGTTGAAAACCTAGGTTTGTTCCCAGCATCACATGGCAGCCAACAAACATCTGTAACTCCAGTTCCAGGGGCTCCAACACCCTCTTCTGGCCTCTGCAGACATTGCATGCATGTGGTGCAGTTACATGCAAGCAAACACTCATACACATAAAATATAAATAAATAAATATTTCAAAAAAGAAAATAAGAAAAGAACATAAAAGCAAGAAGAAAAAATAAAGATCAAAGCAGAAATTAATAATCTAGGAAAAATATAGAATAAATAAAATCTAAGTTACTTTTTTTTAAGTAAACTAAGGCAAATTGGTCTATTTAATTCAAAAAAAAGGAGAAAGAATAAAATAAAAAATAAAGGAAGTAAGATATCAATGAAAATAAGAACCAGAAGGGTTTACTTTGCTGACTGCTATACAAATATATTTGAAGACTTATATAAAAGGTATGGCAACAGCCCAAGCACATAGGGCTTAAAAGAATAAACTGCTTGAGAAATAGAAAGTGTCAACAGATGAAATGGAGAAAGCTGTGACAAGCTAGCCTGAGGCAGCAGAAGAAGAGCACAGTCTGAGGGTGGATGTGCAGATTCTTCAAGACAACAGCTCTTTCCAATGCTACTGATGCTGTTCAAAATGAGTGGGAAGTGAAGATCTCCAGGGATCACTGACACGAAAAATCCAAAATGAGTGCACAAAATCAGTGACTAGAATCTAGTCCCATCCATGAGCACCAGCATAAAACCCATGAGTAAGATTTAGAAAACAGAATTCAACACCATGTTCAATAATGATACGGTAAAATCACATGGTCTCCCTCTCTCAGGAATTCCAGAATTGATGTGAGTACTAGTAATATAACTCATGACTTGAGTAGTCCTAAAGAAGAAATAAATAATAAGATCGACTCAACAGATGGATGCTGTAAGGAGTTAACAAATTCAATCACTCTTGTTTTTCCTAAGTCCTTGATGAAAACTTCCTTATCAAGATAAATTATATCTACCTGATATCCAGTATGAAATTTGAAGACAGAAAAGTCTGATGACAAACACACCCAGTATCATCCAGTAATGCTGCTCACAATGGTCTAGAAGTGTCAGTGAAATCAGACTAGAGAAAAGACCAAGAGGTGCACATTGGAAATGGGAGGTGGCCTATCAGCGTTTGTAAACAACACATTTACGTAGAGTAGGAGCCACTTCTGAAGATATTTCAGAAGTAGAAACAGTGTGCAAGTTGAGTAAGGTCAGATGACCACAAAATAAAGAGTAATTTTATTACTTTGTAGATCCCAGTGGCAACTAATTTGAAGATAAATATCGTGATAGCACAAAAAATAAAATGCCTTATAATGCAAGTTGCATATGGAGAAAAATTTTAATTTTTCACATATTTATTTAATTGTGTGTTGTGTGTGTGTAAATCAGAGAACAAATTCATGGGAATTGGTTCTCTTATAGGGATAAAAATTTTAAGATACTTCTAAAGATGTGAGGAAGAGGGACCGGGGAGATGACTCAACAGTTAAGAGCACTGGCTGCTTTTGCAGATGACCCAGTTTGGTTTCCAGCACCTACATGGTGGCTAACAACCATCCATAACTCCAGTCCAGTGGCTCCATGCCCTCTTCTGGCTTCTGCAGGGATTGCACATATGTGGCACACTTATATATATGTAGACAAAACACTCATACACATAAAATAAAAATAAATAAATTGTTTAAAAAGATATGAGGAATGGTAGCAAGGGGGATCTCTGGATCATACAGATTCTGCATAAATTAAATTATAAATTAAATACTATTCAAAGAGAATTACCAATAAAGTATCTTTATATTAGTCAGTATGGGTCTAAAGTTCACTTGGAAAAACATGACCAAAATAATCCTAGGAAAGGTGAGGGACCAGGAGTGTTAGCTATATCAAATGTGAGACATGAAGAAAATGTCATGACAGCGGCTCAAACACTAACAGATGGGGCAGTCCGAAGAGAACAAGCCTGCAGATGGCCTGAGGGTGACAGGAAGCCAGCATGTGATGGAAAGAGCATTCTAGATCCTTCTGGAAAATGAATCACTTGGCAAATAGCCTTAAGTCAGATAATCAGGCATTCCAAACTCAATGGAGTCTGCACCTCAGACTTTACAGCAGAATATATTCAAATATATTAAACATTTAAATGTGCAAAACTAGCATGATAAGAACACTAGAAGACATGAAAGAATTGTTTTATAAATTTGGTAAAAAGAACATTTTTAATGAGGATATAAATCTTAGGAGCTCAATCTGGGGATGTAGTTCCTTGGTAGAGCATTGCTTAGCAAGCATGAAGCCCTGGGTTCAATTCCCAGCATCGCAATAAATAAATAAGCAAATAAACAACATTTCCACCTGAAAAGAATCATCTATAAGCAAAGCCCAAACACAAAAACAAATGGAGAAAAAAATTGCAATTTATAATTCTCATACTAAAAACATGAATTTTCTTAGTAATGAAAAATACTCATAAAACAGCATGTCACACAGAACCATGAAAGTTCTCTTCTTCTTGGCTAAATACAGCTTTAAAAAAAGATACTTTAATGTGAAGATAATAACATGCAAATTAAAACTTCAGAAAGAGACTGTTACCATCTTTCATACTGACATCCACACTGCTCATGGGAATATAAACCAGACAGGTCTAATTGAGAGCAATTTATCAGTAACTAGAAAATTACTATTGGACATAGCATTTGAAGCAATAATTTTTCTATGAGCTTGGATAGACATTCATGGCAATGTTACAAAACTTAAAAATTAGAAACAATCTCAGTTAAGGCTGGATGTGGTGGTGCATGCCTTTAATCCCAGCATGAGAAGCAGAGACAGGCAGATCTCTGTGAGTTTGAGGCAAGATGTAAGACATAGCAGATAACATTGTCTGTGGGTTAGTGGGAAGAGGAAGTCTACTGCGTATCTTTGTCAAATGTGTGGGCTTGCACAGAGAGAGTTGACCATGTTCAAAAAACAAATTTTAAAAAGAAAAAGGAAAAAATTAAATTTGCCATTAATTAGGTAAGTACAGGAACTGTCTATTTACCTCCCCACTATCCCAACAGGGCTGTAAGTGTTTACAATAGGTCCAACACCAAGATGTTGATGCAAAGACTGGTTTTCCATTGTTTATTTTTATCACTTTGGTCAAAAGGAAGTTGGGGCTGGAGAGATGGCTCAGTGGTTAAGAGCACTGACTGCTCTTACAGAGGACCCAGTTTTGATTCCCAGCACCCACATGGTGACTACGAACTGTCCTTAACTCCAGTTCCAGGGGAATCTGAAGCTCTCTTCTGACCTCTGCAGCACTGTACCACACGGGTGCACTCACATACATGCAGGCAATACACTCATACACATAAAATAAAAATAATAAATAAAATATGTTTTAAAAAGGAAGCACTGAAGGAAAGAAAATGGTGTACTGTATCACGTGTGCACTTAAAGAGGAATTTAAGTTGTTTTTGTGTTTCTAGAGCGGTGCCTTGTGTAGGGAAGAACCTTGTACTGATTATGTGACCCTAGAGCTAATCTCTCAGCCTCACTATTCTACTCCAAGGAGCTGATGGGAAGACTAATGGGATGTAGTGTGAAAAGAACTGGTCACAGCCCATAATGAGAGCACACACTTTCTATCACACAGGAGCCACCAGGCAGGTTTAGAAGACTCCAGAAGGACATACTGGGGCCTCCTGCTGGGCAGCATCTCAACACTGCCTGCTGTCCCAGGCTGGTATCTCTTTCCCAGGCTTCCAGAGAACACACTATATCATACCTTTCTCGTACTGGTGGTAGGCAGTCACTGTGGTCACATCTGTTATCTTGTACAACCTCATTTCAGTCACAGAACTGTCCCCAAAGTCCATCAGCAGACAAAGAGCTGTTCTGGAAGCCATTCGAAGCTGGAATCCCAGAGTTGGAGGTGCCTGTGGGTTTGTTTCTTGGAAGCGGCAGGTGGCAAGGTGCCCAGCGTTATCAAGACGTGTTACTGGAATAGCCTCAGGAGGATGCTGTGTGAGGGGACAGCGACTTTCCGGGTTGTCCCTGGGTGTGGGGAGGCTGCAGGTGCAAGAAATGCCCGGAGGAGGGTCTGAGGAACTGCAGGAAGGAATTTCAGATTTCAGGGCGGTCTCACAGAGTCCAGGAAGAGGGTGTCAAGTGAGGTGGGAGGGTAGGGATGGCTGGCTGGGAGCAGGTGTAAGTGCCCTGAGGAAAGGCCCTGGTGCTTGCAGTGAACGCCCAGCCAGCAGTTCTAGCATCTCTGGCCACTCATGAGATAGGCACCCCAGAACACTGGTTGAGAAACTCAAGTCAGGGCCAGCATGGCCCCTAGAGACAGAGGTCAGCACATTGGAGCACCACTGTCTAAAAATGAAAAGCAAACTTTTTTTTTTTAAACACTGAAGTAAGGGACTGAAAGCCAGTGTGTCTCATGAGTTGCTACTTGCTGTTATTGTGTAATGTGGTCTATGGGTCCAGGGCCACCAGTTCCCCATTTCCATGAGTAGTCCCTTGTGCTGTGAGTTGGGGCTGGGAAGAGAATAGACTACTTGGTCTTCAGCCTCTGAGAAATACAGGACTTCTATCACTGACTTATTGAAAACCGTTGCAGGAGGACACTGGCTATGCAGTAGTTAAGGAGCTAGCAACCCCAACCAAGGAGAGAGCCCTTCAAAGTGAAGGCAGGTACTCTCATGGGAATGGAAGTGACCCAAGGGTCAGGTGCACCCCACATTTCCCTCCTCCACTTGTGCTGTGCATATCCCACTAGTCACACTGATAGAGCTGAGGCCTGGAAGCCAGAGTGCTCTGAAAAAGAAAGGGAACGTGTGACACAGGACACAGGTGGTAAAGGGCAGCCAACCACATTTGGAGTAGGGTGACTTGAGACTCTCCTAGCACAGCTGTAATGAAATCCAACCATGAAGACACCCAAATCACCTAGTGATTGGCAGAGACTGAGATGAAGGGGGTGTGGCCTCCACCACCCTCTTCCTGCTTTCTGAGAATGGTGGGGAAATGGAAAGCCCATCCCACAGGGCTGGCTGGGTGCTGGTCTGTAGGGAGGTGGCTGCCTTGGTGGGGACAGACCTGAGAAGTAGCACATGGGCCAGGTCCTCTTCAGAGCAGAGAACGTTCTTCTTCAGCCTGCCAGGGGTCTCTGCAGAAGAGCTGCCCTGGAAGATGAAAGTTCAAAGTCATTAGTCTCCGAAACCTGCTCTGGCCCAAGTACTTCATGTTCTCCACATAAAAAGTCAATTTAGTAGGGGCTGGAGAGATGGCTCAGCAGTTAAGAGCACTGGTTGCTCTTGCAGATAATCTGGATTTGGCTCCTATTACCTAATAATTCCAGTTCCTTGGGATCTAATGACCTCTTCTGGCCTCTGCAGGCATTGCATGGCCTGGGTGCACTTACATGCAGGCAAAAAACTCATACACATAAAAATACATTTAAAAAATTTTATGTCACCTTGGCCCAGTGCCACTGAGTGCTCTATGGGGCTGAGGGCTCTGTGGTATGGGCTGGGGCTTACAAATCAGCCCATCATTGGCACTACTTTGAGAATGAGATGAAGCTGTTTCCAGCAAAGAGGACACCCAGCTGGGAACCCGCTAGGTGGAATGTCAGGAACTTGGGCACTGCCTGTTATCACCCCACGCTGTCCCCTCTGCTATTTATGGTTCATCTACACACGCAGCTGGCAGCTGAGACACAGCACTTTTTTCTCCTTATCATAATGACATTTTGGTTATGCCTGGCCATGAAGCATCTAATAGATTTAGAAAGGAAAAATAGGGATCACTGAGCAGCTCTGAGGCAAGTTCTCAGACTCTCTTGAGAAGTTTTCTAAGAAAATTCAGGGCCAGGGGCAGACACCAACCTGCTGTAGACCAGAGAATGATCCATCTGTTTTTCTCGTCTCACATAACCACCAGAGACAGGAGCTGGGGCTGTTGCTGTTCCTGTTGCAGGCGATCATAACTGCAGACTTGTGTGAGACTCTGGATAAAAAAAAAAAAAGGCAGAGGGCTGGAGAGATGGACCAGCAGCTAAGAGAATTGGTACCCACATGGTGGCTAACAACTGTCTGTAACTCCAGTTCCAAGGGCGCCAATGCCCTCTTCTGGCCTCTCTGGGCACTGCATGACATGGGTGTACTTACAAACATGCAGGCAAAACACTCATACACATAAAAATAAAAATAAATAAATCAAAAAGTTAAAAGAAAGAAAAGGCAGAAAGATGAGGAATGCCCAGTGCTGTCTTGAACATGGTACATCTTATTATTAAGCAGGCTTAACTGAAAGACCCTCCCTGTGACCTGAGCCTGCTCCTTGCAGTCCATAAGGTATTATACCATCAGAGATAGATTTTACTTACAAATTAAAGTACACAGGACTGTGGCAGGTACCAGGGAGATAGCGTCAGGGCAGAGTACAGCACTGTTAAAGCTATTTGCTAGAATCTGTGCCCACCTAGGAGCAAGTCACATTCTACACACGCTTGTTCACCAACATGCACTGTGATATATGCTACATGCTCTAGCATGGGGGGCGGGGGTTGGGGGAGGATTGGTGGAGGACTGGAGACCTGGAAAACAAATCCTGGTTCTGCAGTTTGGACAGTGTTCCTTGCCTCTCACTGTCTGAAACACGCTGGAGTTCTGCAGAGGACAAACTTGGCTTCCCAGAAACAGTGAACTATAGCAGGAGATTAACTTCAGAATCCCACGCTGGCTCCTGGCTTGTTGCTTCCCCACCATCTCTCATGGTGCAGGAATCATGCACTGTTCTCTCTGTAGGCGGAACCCATTCCTGGCTGCTTTTGATGGCATGTCCTCCTGCACTGTCTGTCCTCCAGGAGGAACACCCTCAGTTACTTTGGCTATTCCTCATGGGACATGCTTTCTAGTCTATTCCTCATTCTGGCTACTTGCTTCCCCTCCCATGCTCCATCCATCCCCTTGGTCACCCTTAATCTACTTTCTGTATCTCTGAATTAGACTTTTCTAGGAAACTCACGAAAGTAGAGTCATACAAACATGTTTACCTTTATTAGCCTGGCTTATTTTACAAAGCATACTGTCTTCAAGATCCAACTAACAATTGTTTTCAAGTCCAGGATATATCCCCTGAGCTACCACACCGAGGTTCACAAAGTGTCCTGGTCAGCTCTCTATTGCTGTGATAAAAGCTGGAGAGATGGCTCAGTGGTTAAGAACACTGACTGTTCTTGAAGAAGATCTGGGTTCGAATCCCAGCACCTAATGGCAGCTAACAACTGTCTTTAACTCCAGTTCCAGGAGATCTGACAGCCTCTTCTGTCTTCCACGGGCATTGCATAACTTGGGTGTACTTACCTACATGCAGGCAATGCACGCATACACATAAAATAAAAATAATACATAAAATATTTGTGAAAAAACAGTGTGACCAAAGCCAACTTGGGGAGGACAGGGTTTATTTGACTTAAATGTCCAGATCACAGTCCATCACTGAGGGAAGCCAGAGCAGGAACTCAAGGCAGGATCCTGGAGGTAGGAGCTGAAGCAGAGGCCAAGGAGGAACACTGCTTACTGGCTTTCTCCTCTGGCCTGCTCAGCCTGCTTCCTTTTGCAACCTAGGACCATCTGCCTGGTGGCACCACTTCAGTAGGCTGGACCCTCCTCACTCAACACTCAAGAAAATGCCTCACAGACTACTCCACAGGACAGCCTGATAGAGGAAATTCTCCAATTGAAGTTCCCTCTTCCCAGATATGTCAAGTTGACAACTAAAGCTATCCAGTACACCAAGTCAGTTCCCAATGTTGAGAGCAGGCTGCGCCTTGTTCTAAGTTCCTCCTTATTGAACACAACAGTAGCAACAAGCAACATTTAGTTCCATTTTGAGGCAAATGGAGAGAGGATGACTCTGCACCTCACTGTGCACACAGACACCACTACCTGTCTGGTACCATCATGAGGAACAGACTAATATGTAAGCTATTCCTAAAAGTAACAAGGTGCCACTGATAAACTTACCAGACTAGATTGGTACCATATGAGCACATGAGTAAATTATAGCCACATCAGAAAAGAAAGACCTGAGAGTTGGCAAGATGGCTCAGCAGGTAAAATGATTGCCACATGAAGCCTGATAGCCTGAGTTCAGTCCCTGGAACTAGGACCCATGAAAAGTCAGAGTCAGTAGCTTGTATCTGAAATCCTAGCACGACCACGGCAAGACGATAGGTGGAAACAGGAGAATCACAAGGAAGGTCACAGGCCACTGAGCCTGGAGTACACCAAGTGGCAGAAACAACAAGACAGACCTCAATAAGGTGGAAACAGAACCCACTTCTGAAACACATCAGACTGAGCAAAGTTCATGGACTCCATAATGAAGACGATATCTAACACTTCAATGGGGACACCCTCGCTGCCAGTGACCTGTCATCTGCCTACTCAGTGTGTGCATCAGGAGGACTGACAGGCAGAGAGCTTCAGGGTTTCAGCTCAGCTTGGTCCCTATCACTGCTGCAGCAAACTGCAGTCTGTCTGGATCACCCCCATACCTCACCTCCACAGCCCATGGCCCTGAGCCGTGGCCCTGAGCAGTTGGACTCATTCTGAGGCCTGGCTCAGGCCAGTGACCCTGCAGCTTGGCTCTGTGGTAGCTTCTCTAGCAGCTTTCCAACTGGCTTCATCATCTAATCCCTACATTGCTCTGCACCTGGAGCAGCTCTCTGCCTTGGTCTCTAGTAAGTCTTCTTTGAATTCCTTAAACGCTGCTGCACCTTCTTTCATCCTTTTGTTGCCATTCTATTGTAGAACCCTGAGACCCTCTTCATTCACCCACTACCCCCCAATCCCTCCAGACCCCCACTAATTGCTCTTTTAGCTTCTCTAAAATGCTTGGCTGCTGCTTTAGACATGCCTAGACAT